CAGTAAAACACAAGTAAACATATTTCTGGTATTCTTTGCTTTGAGCCAAGATCCATCTGACATCAGCCATGATATCCCTCATTCCATGTCCCCTTCCGAATCCAGCTTGTATTTCTACAAAGTCTCTGTCAATATACTGCTTCAACCATTTTTGAATTATCTTCAGTAAGATTTTACTTGCATGAGATATTAAAAATATTGTTCAATAATTTCCACATTCTATAGGATCACCTTTCTTTGGAATGGATACAAATACGGATCTCTTCCAATCAGTTGACCAGGTAACTGTCTTCCAAATCTCTTGGCATAACCGAGTGAGTGCCTCCAGCAGGGCATCATTTGTTGAAACATCTCAATGGCTATTCTGTCAATTCCTGGAGCCTTGTTCTTCGCCAATTCAGTGCAGCTTCAACTTCTTCCTTCAGTATCATTGGTTCTTGAACATATGCCAATGTTGAAATGGATGAAGATTGACCACTTCCTTTTGATACAGTGACTCTGTGTATTCCTTCCATCTTCTTTTGATGCTTCCTGCACCATTCAGTATTATGCCCATAGAATCTTTCAATATTGCAACTCGAGGCTTAAATTTTTTCCTTAGTTCTTTCAGCTTGAGAAATGCCAAGCGTGTTCTTCCCTTTTGGTTTTCTATTCCAGGGCTTTGCACATTTCATTATAGTAATTGGCTTTATCTGTTCAAGCTGCTCTTTGAAATCTTCTGTTCAGTTCTTTTATTTTGTCATTTCTTCCATTTGTTTTACCTACTTTCTGCTCAAGGGCAAGTTTCAGTCTCTTCTGACATCTATTTTGGTCTTTTCTTCTTTTCTCATCTTTTTAGTGACCTCTTGCTTTCTTCGTGGATGATATTCTTGATTTCATCCCACATTTCTTCCGGTTTTTGATCAGGTGTTTAGTGCATCAAATCTGTTCTTTAGATGGTCTCTAAATTGAGGAGGGATATATTCAAGATTGTATTTTAGCTCCTGTAGACTTGTTTTAATTGTCTTCAACTTCAAGTTGAACTTGCATATGAGCAGTTGATGGTCTGTTCCACAATCAGCTCCTGGCCTTGTTTTGGCTGA